TATGTAGGTATGTACATATAAGGAAGGGTACACACAATCTTTATCAGCTATCTGCATGAAATGTATAGTCCAGCACAAACATAATTTAGTTGTGGACGTGATATGCTTTGATTATCGATTTACACCATTCTGTGGAAAAATTTAAACTTCACAATGGTTTACTTCTTTCTTAACGCATCCTTACGGTCATCATAAAAAGGGTTAAAATAGCACATATTGCATTCGACACACATTGCAAAACACGAGCAATTTGATCCCCCTGGGGGAATCCCCCATGCGATTTTTTGTCATATCTGGCACCGTGTCCTAATACATTAGTAGGCCCGGCTAATAAAATCCTGCCTAATTTAAATACCTCAAATTAGCTCTAGATATACGAAAATAGGTTTAAAAATACTCCAGCGCTATGATACTCATAAACAAACCGACGAACACATCGATCCCAAAAAGTAGCTTCATTTTTTCTGTGGCTACTTAATAATAGGGAAGTTTGCATACAAGGTTGAGTTTGAATCAAAACGAGACTATCTATTTACCTCTTTAATTACGTTACTAAATAAATACATATTTAAACAAAATACTTATGAAGCTGTACAATTCACAAGTTAGATATAATCGATCAACATGACTCACAGTGTTGTGGTTTAAAGACAAGGTTACAAATATATTTACAAAATTGTCCCGTACTGTTTACATACATTCAAAAATTTCCTAAAAACCATCCGAAAGTAGATTACACGTATATCTGCAAAATTTTACCTAACATTTACATAATTAACTTGGAAAAAAATGCGAAAGTCACTTTTGTGGACGGCCTTTAATAACTGGGAACGTGCGTACCGTTTCCTTTGGACGCAACCTTTACGATGGGATCCGTCAAGCTCAAGATTGGTTTACACAGATCGACCTGATAAACTTGTCACGTTTGGTGTGTTGGTCGCCATGGAGGGTTTTTTCGTACTCCTCCCATGCCTCGGAGTTCTGGCAATTTGTAAATCTCCGAATTCTAAATCTTGCAATCTCCCGACTAAAGATGTCGTCATGATGGGAGTGGTTGTATTCATCGTAATTATGGGTATCTTGGGCGATGTAGCGATTTTAACACATGGCCGATACATTGCGGCGGGATGCAACCAGTTATTCGCGATGGAATCAGGTGAGCAAATCCGTAACGGGTTTATTTAGTAACTTGCAAAAATCTGAGTGATTTAAGTTTGGCAATTAAATATATTTTGGTTTTGAAGCTAAGTATTGTTCAGCTAACGATTATTAATAGCCTTAATTGCTTAGAAAATATTCTGAGCAATTAAGCAATAATTGTTATTTGGTTTTTGGAAAATATTTAATGAGGCATTTCACGTTAACGAACTTGAGTTACGGCAAGAAAACCTCGAGATTTTTTATTAATATTGGCTGACATACAAAAATGTAAAAAATTTGATATTTTTATTTCATCGCTAGCTTCCCCAGTCCCATCGATGTACTCCGAACTTGGTAAACTCCAAGCATGTGCAGCCCGCAAAGTCGACATGGTCGAAGTCGGTCTCAACCTGGCCGTCATACTGGTCGCTATTTACCCCTATTTTTTCATTACATTCTCCATCTTCGCAAATGTTGATCCCATGTACAACTGCGCTACACAATTCTTTCCGGGTAGTACGAAACCCGCCCCGTTAACAATTCCCACCCTGATAAACAAAATTATCTTTTTCTCTATCCGACTCGCCATCCAGCTTCCCACGGCGATTCAAGACAGCCGAGTTTACGGGCTGGGTTGCTGCGTACTTCTCATCTCGGGGAAAGAGATACTTCGCGGGATTTATAAACTAGGGACAAATAATGTTCTTGGGGTAATATGCGACACGCGGTATGGCCGGTCAAGGAGAATTTTCCTTTATTACGCGCGCATTCATCTCGTCACCCAAATGTTGCATGACGTCCTGTCAAACACGATATGTGTCGTGCTCGGTTCCGGATTCGTAATTTCTGTCGCGGCGACTTTTTCCACGATTCGACTCCATCACGTGATACCGATGCCATTTTTTCTCCTGTGTCCGGCCACGTCTGGACTTCTTGGGCTTATCTTGGTCCTCCTGTTCGAAATGACGATTGCCCCTCATAATGCGGCCAAGGAGTTGATGAAAAAATGGAAGTTGGCGATTTTACGGAGTCATGAGAAAAAGTATTTGGAAACCAAGTTAACATCGATCAGGGTAATTTTGTGGACGGTGAGGATCGGGAATTTGAGAATATTTAATCTCAAGAATTCCACAAGGACGCTGTACTATACGACGATTGCAGACACGACGATCAATGCGTTGGTTTCTTCGTCAAAATAATCTTGGATATATATTATTTAATTAGCTCAACTTACTCATGTACATAATTAGAATCCATAATTAATTAATTGAGTAGTTTTATGTAGAGTCAATGATGATATGAATTTCAAAATTTGGAACTTTTTCAGCATTACATATTTAAGATTCACTGCAAACTTTGTGAACATATAACTTTCACAAATTCAATAAATCTAATAATACAGGGTGGTTTAAATGTCAGGTTACAATGGGAAAAATTCGTAAATTTCCATACGATTTGGGATTGAGATTTCTGTTAATTTTTATCAAAACTTATGGAAAACTGATGACAAAATTCTTAAAGTATTGAATTTCAGAGGAAAAATTTCGGTAACTAATGGAGATTTGCGAATTTTTCCCATTGACAAATTTTCCATTGTAACCTGGCATTTAAACCACCCTGTATATACTAAATAAATATCATCGTTTCGACAACTAAAGTATGTACAAAATTTAACCCACATACTTACGAAGGGGGGCAGAAATTAATCGGCCTCGCCTTGAAGGGGGGTCATTTTGCCCCACTTTTTCTGTTGGAGTGAAAGATAAACTCATATGTATCTCAGATCTCATAGCTTAAAAATTCACGGTCACGGCTGAATCGAGGAGATCGTCTGATGTGATCAAAAACAGCGAAACTGACAAAACCGTACATAAGTAATACTTATGCACATACTTATTAAGTATGTGCATATCCTCATTAAATCCAGAAATAATTTTTCACAAAAAAAGTACAAAATTTAATTTGAGCATTCAGTCAACGAACTATTAGATAAGTCACCAGTTTCAGTCATTAATTTCAGCCATTAATAAATATTTATGTTCATAACATATCCGTATTTCCTTAAGGGGTTCTTCTTATCCCAATAATTCATAGCGCATAAATATTAAATACCATAAAAGTAATGTCACCTTTATGTCTATTAATATCTTAAGACATGCATGTACCTCTAGGTAGATATTGCATAATGGCAGATGTACATAAAACGTACCTAACATTTTATGTACATCTGTCATTATGCAATACCTTACGAGCTAACAGGTGAAAATAAATACCCTTGTACACATGTCCCTATGTAAAACATCTATTCGCTTATTAGATCAAGTTCAATGTTCATGTTTGATTATGAAGATTTTCCACTTTTTTATGCGCACTAATGTACCAGTACATAAACCAGTCCATGGAAAATTGGGTTTCCCTACTAGTTTCTTGATCACATTGACAACGGTCCCAAATGATGCCTGACACCTGGAAAACGTAATAAAAATGTATATTTACATGCAGGTGTGCACATGTAAAGGGTGTTAATAAAGTCCGATCCCATGCATTTTTTGGAGCGTGGTTGTTACAAATTCAGCTGGAACTTTTGAACCAGTGAAGTTATTTATTTCAAATTTTTACCATGGGAGGAACAACTAAACGTGTAAGTCATGAGCATCTTAGAGTTGAGATACAAACATTGCATCAGCAGGGGCTTAAACCTACAGAAATTGTGCAAAAATTGGGCTGCAGCCGCAGAACTGTTTGGAAATGGAAGAATAAAAATTTTGTCCACGACAAAAAGCGACCAGGGCGACCCAGAAAGGTGTCACCTACCACAAAAAGAATGATTAAAAACAGACTTTGCAAGAAAACCGGTAGTTCATTACGTAATTGAGCAAGGGAGTTAAATGACTCAAAACGCTATAAAGAGAAGAAGAAGCAAATTAACTGTGTGACCGTGCAAAAATTTGTGAAAACTACGAAGTGGGGTCACACAGCTTACAAACTAACCAAAAAAACCTCTCATGTCACAAAAATATATCGATGACCGTCTGAAATTTGAAGAACTCCTTCAGAAAAGTGCCCATTTGAGTGAAAAAAGACTTGGTGAAGAATTGCGCAGTCACATCCTTTGGACTGACGAATCTATTATTGAACTATATCCAAAATTGAACCAACAAAATGTTCGTTACAGGACAGAAAACAAATCGGATGTACCATCAAGAGCGATCCCAAAATTCGGGCTTAAAGTTATGGTAGCGGGTGGATTTTGTGCACGTTGCGTGACCCCTCTACATATCATACCAAAAAGCCAATCAGTCAATGCAAAGCATTATATGGAAAAAATATTACCTATCTATTTCGATAGCATGGGGAACAAGGAAATATTTCCGAATGAAAGAAAAATAGTTTTCATGCAGGATGGTGCTATAGCCCATACAGCAAAAGCGAGTTTGAGTCTCATCAAGACGCAAGTTTCAACGGTCTGGAGCAAGGGGGTGTGGGCCGCTAACGGCCCAGATTTGAATCCCCTGAAGAACCAGTGGTCCATACTTAAGGAAAATGTATACAAAGAGCCACAACCCCGGACGAGGGAAGAGCTAGTAAAAAAAAGTTCAAGATGTATGGAATTCGATTTCCAGAGGCACATTGGAAAAATTAGCACAGAGCCTTAAACAAAGAGTTGAGGGCATGGTTAAAGTAAATGGTAACAAGACCAAATACTAAGGTAAATATGTCGAACATTTTTTGTAAGTATCACGGGTAGTTTTTTTTTATACTAGCCTTCACTTTTTTACAGGAAAAATGGGATCGGACTTTATTAACACCCTGTACATATGTATAAATTTTACATAGAGTACCACCTCCAAATTCACAAACTGGTTCAGTTTTGGTGCGATTGCACTGAGAAATAAAGATCATATTTCCATTGCAAAAAAAATTTGTAGGATTATTAGCGGTACATTTTCGAAAAATTTTAAATTTTTGAATCATTCATATCTACATACAGCGACATGTCGTGTAACCCTTCCAGACTTGAGCAGTTGATTGAAACCGCGAATTTGAAGAGAAGAAGTGAAACAGACAAGGTACGTATTTAATTTGCATTTTTAATGGACGGCATTTAAATTAAGATAATTTATTTGCATATTTTCAGGAAATATTGAAATACCACATGGAACAAGATCAGCTTAGATTGGCAAAATGCAACTATGTCCCAGAAAACAGTTTAAAGTGGAAGAATTCCACGTTTAACAGATCCACCATTTCGGGAAGGACACATTTTAATCTTGTGTAAATATTTTGCATTGTAATAACAAATGCCCCTTAAGTTTATTTTGTTTTAAATTAAAATATGTACTATCATTAACTTATGATGCACAAAGCAAGTTGCACATTTAAATACGTTGAGTATGTATCAACATTTGGAAAATCTTAATTGTGTAATGTATTCTCTTGGCTGTAAATTTGTTAAATAACCATAAATAAATATGTAACATAATTTTGTCTGCAGAAATACTTATTGAGCCTATATAAACATACATACTTATAAGACGAACTTATTCTATTTACATACATATTTGTATATGTAACACAAATTGAAATTGACGAGATGCCGTTTTCGTGAAAATTAACCGATATTGCACAATAACTATCATCTTAACTATGTCGTAGAAAATCTGTAACAATTAAATAATACATAATTCGCCACATATGTGCAAGGTAAATGGATATGTAAATAATAGTATTAAATATACATGTAAATATCACTTAAATATGTACACATTACCTACATATATGCACATAAATATGTTTCAATACATACGATGTGCATAATCTACTGCCTGACTTAATATTACTTGTCATTACTTGATATCTCCACTAGGGTTTTAGCTTTGAGAGATTTGAAATTGCATATGCATATTTACATATATATGTCAAGTTATAGTAACTTGAAGTTACGTTTTTACAGGAAATTGATAAAAAATATATCGATTTGAAATTAAAAAAAAAAAAAAAAGGTCGTCTTTATTGATTCCCAATTTTAGCCATTACATTTGAATTACAAGTGAACCAAACCTCACATAAGTGAGAAATAGATGGTCACAGGTTCCTAACTATGGTGCCCGTAGTGCAATGGACACCGCACAGACCTGTGCAACAAGTCAGAGAGGAAAACCACAAGGGAAAAAACTCTCAGCCAGTACTGGGAATTGAACCCAGAACCTCCATTCGGCTTGAAGCACAGTGTGATGACCACTCGGCCACCACTGCCTGCCTATCTGCCTGCCTGCCTATGAAATCTTGACTTCCTTTAAGGCTGCATATACATATGTACATACATAGGTTTTACCCTACTATCAGCACATACTAAATAATTAAGAGGTATTTATGTATTTATACCGTGCATACATATTTATTCATGCATCTTTTACACAAATGATCTAAGCTTATCATAATTATCCCACTTTGATTTGTGCGACATACACTTTCATTCTGAACAGTCCTCAACCATTTAAAGTAATTAAATGGACATCGTTCTTCAACTCCAAGTGTCACTTTCAATTAAAACGTATTATCCTAACAGGCTTTAAATGCATGCCTTTGTAAATACATACAGTCAAGAGCAAAACTTTACGACATATGGAAGAGACTTTTGGGACATGTTATTCAAATGGGGAATTAAAGGCCGTAAAGTTTTGCACCGCGTACCTTTCCGAATAATTTTTTTAACGCTGTGATATAATTTTTATTGAATAAAGCGTGCAAAAGTAGGGGGTGACGTGGTAAATTATTTTTGTCGCCGAATTTTTTTCAAGGAACTACAAGGAATTGAAAGAATTAATTTTGGAAGAGACTTTTGGGACAGCCATAAGCACAATGTGTTGTCCCAAAAGTAGGGTTGCCGCGGGTAGCGAAAATGCTACCCGTTACCCGACCCGCTACCCGCAGCACAACTACCCGTACCCGCACGGGTACCCGTGCGGGTACCCGTTACCCGTTATGAGAATTAGGTTAAAAACTAACCAAACTTCAGAATAAATATGATTTGATCAATTATTTGTTCATTTGGGTTGATATGTACTTTAAGATAATGCTATGCAAGTAACGCATGCCATAATTTGCTCGTAAATATCACTCGTTATTTTTGAAACCAACAATTTTGGCTTGCATTGAATCGTTTTTCAAGCTAAACCGATTTATGCACATATATCAAAAAATTGAGCCAAAAAATAGGAATTACATGACACTTATTTTTCCGTTGAATGACCCGTTTAATGGAAACTATTGGGATGGGATAGAGAGTTCAAAGTCCACCATGGTATTTGTTTAATGGAGGAAAAAATACGGAACATTTACTTGAAAATTAAACTTTGCCGCCGATATTTTTCTTCGAAGGGGCCGTTCAACGGAAAGATAAGTATCACGCGATTCCTAATTTGTGGCCTGAATTTTTTATATACTCGCTGGGCAATCTTGGTATGGCTTGAAAAAGGTTCAATTTTTAGTTTGATTTTTTCAAATTTTGATTTGAATTAAGTTTTCATTCGAAAATATTATCTACAAATAAATTTTTTGCTTTGAATCGGATTCAGGTTTTTCACCTTCGAACATGTTAAAATCTCGTCAGTCTTACATACATAAATACACACAAATGCAAGTCAAATTATTACTATATTTAGAGCAGGCAAACTATGCTTGAGAAACAATAATTGCTCCGCAGTATCTGGACGTCAAATATATTTGAGGCTAGCATAGGCTTCTGTGGCTTCCGAAAAGAGACTCCGGCTATAAACGTTTGTTGCTGACAAATGACAAATTTTGAAATGGAAAAATAATAAATTGACGCTTTTGTTGGTAAATGGACTAACTAGCTGCTAACTTGCTTTGTGAACTGAGTTTTGACGAAAATTAAATAAAAACTGAACTACCCGTTACCCGTGCGGGTAGTTCTCGCTACCCGCAGATAACGGGTACCCGCAAGAATCGTGCGGGTATGCGGGTAACGGGTACCCGACCCGTTACCCGCGGCAACCCTACCCAAAAGTCTCTTCCAAAATTAATTCTTTCAATTCCTTGTAGTTCCTTGAAAAAAATTCGGCGACAAAAATAATTTACCACGTCACCCCCTACTTTTGCACGCTTTATTCAATAAAAATTATATCACAGCGTTAAAAAAATTATTCGGAAAGGTACGCGGTGCAAAACTTTACGGCCTTTAATTCCCCATTTGAATAACATGTCCCAAAAGTCTCTTCCATATGTCGTAAAGTTTTGCTCTTGACTGTATATGTACGTACATTTACTTTTACTGAATTGTAAGTGACGCGTCACACATACATAGAAGGTACATGTTTCGAGTGTTAGTGTCAATTCCGTTGCTTGCAATGCTTGTTAATTAATGTGGGTCATATTACTTCAATTTTTCAATAGCATTTATACCACACTCTAATATTAGCAGGATTATGCAGAATTTTGTGTATAAAAAATTTACTTATGTATTTACTTATGTGCATATTTACTATGAAAAATGCTATGTAACGCAACCTACTTGAACCTACACATTTCTTCGCACGGAGTCAAGTGCAAGGTTAACCTGTTCCTATATGTACTCGTGCAAATTTCGCAATTTATGTAATTTGTTTGTCTATCCTGTAGTTATGGCAACCTCTCCCATCCCATGTTTTACCCAGTTCATCCTCTAAGTTCATGAGTCGACATGCTCCACATGCTTGTCATTTTTGCCTACATTTTTATATTTGGTTTTAACTGTATGTATATATTTATACATATTTATCTCATCAATCAAAGAAAAAACAAAACAATTATATATTAGCGAAGCAAACAATTTTACTGAGCAAAAAATGGAGACTGCAAACGTAATCATCCGACAATCAAATTCGCCACTAATAAGGAAACCAGTCACATTTTATCCTCAGTCATGGAATGTACGAAGGAACCATTTGATCTTCAGCTTATCGAGCTGAAAGGGAGGATAAAAGGTTTGCAAATTTTGATTCGCAAGATTTCCTAATAAACAAATAAATTTGCATGTATGCAATTTTGCAGAGCACGACCAGATCGAACCATTCAGTGATATTTTAGATGACAATTTCTTAACTGGATTTCTCCGTGGGAAGAAGGGAGACGTTGATAAGACGGTGAAATGTGTACGTATTTATACAAAACTTTACGAAGTTAAGTATGCAAAATGTTGTAATTTGCTAATCATTTTTTTGCAATACTAGCTGGAACACTATATACAAATGAGGACGGTCAAATATAAGAATTTTACAAAAACTTTCCGTCCATCCACGGTAAAATTGTTGGACCAGGGTGCCCTTCAGATGATGAAGCATCACGATCCATTGGGAAGGGTTGTATTATTAGTGCAAATTAGTAAGTCACTACTAGTGCAAAATTAATCGTAAAAATGACTAAATTCAATCCTCCAATATGTAATCTCGATTTTGCAACGTTAGCAAAAAAGGTTTGCAGATTTGCAAAAAAATGGCTTGAAGAAGATTCATTTGCGAACTTGCGCATGTCCATTGCATTCAAAAATATGTTGCGATCCGGACCGCGAATGAATCGCCTCATTGCAAATTTTGCCATTTTTTTCCAAGCCCAGTATTTACTTCGCATTTTTCAAAATTATGTGACGATCCGAACATGTGAGTTCGTAGTGAGTACTCCGATTACAAATTTTGTATTTTTTAGAAAATTGGTTCCCATCCCAATTTCCTGTGGACGAAGCGATCGCCGCCGCACTTTTCATGATGGACGAAGGAATTCGTCACTATTTCGCCACAGGCAATGAGTTTGTCACGATTGTTGACTGTGCCGGAGCATGCCTTGCTCAGGCGAGGACAATGACGCTGAGAAATATTTTCCTCATGGTGGACATGTTCACGAAAAATGTTCCCAGCCGGCCGAAAGCAATTCATTTTGTTAATCATGGGTTCCTAATTCATAACCTGCGCCGTGTGATAACCCCTCTGCTGGAGAAGAAGCTAAGAGAACGGATACGAACAAAAGATCTGGCTCATTCCATTTGTAAGCAACACGTTTGATCGAGTACCAGGAAATAGAGGTGCTAAACCCTGCTCCCTGGTGGTGGCTGCCTGACCATGTATTTTCCTCTCTTTGATATGAGAACACCACACAACTTATGCTTTGTCAATGTTCCCGGCCACGTAGGAACACAGAATTATTTACTACTGTCTACACAAGCAGCCCATGTTAATTTTGCCTTTTCGAAAAATCGCCAAAACTCCAAGACGGACAAAAATCGCGTGGGGTTTTAAACTTTTTTGTTTCCTCAGGCCCAAAGGCATCGATTCGCTTATCTCTCTATGAGCGATTCTTGTCCGTCTTCTCGATAATCGAGTTTTTCAATACATTTTAAATTTCTGATTTTTTTGAATTTTTGAATTTTTGAAAATTTTTCATAGCAAAGAATGATCAATGAATGAAATCTGTAAATGTAACCTACCCCTTTGAACCAACACTTACCCGACGAAAGCATTTTCAATGCATTTGCAAATTTTCTTTGAACTGGGCCCCATTTTTCATGGTACTTTTCACTCTGCACTTTTCAACTTTTCGCCAATTTTGCAAAGCAGAGGGTTTTTCAGCGACTGCGATTTGCAAAGTGAAAAGTGAAAAGTGAAAAGTCGAAACCGCAGAGCTTTTGAAAACTGCAGAGAAGGGACCCGTTTTTTAACGTTTCACTCTGCAAATATTCTCTACACTTTGCACAAAAAAGTGCAAAAGGTCAAGAGGCACTTCACTCCTCACTTTTCAAAACTTTTTACTCCGGCTCACCATCGGTCATTTTCGCTCCCTATAAGGTGGTTACCTCAGATTTTGTCCGGACTAATTTTAAATTGTCACGGTCAGAAATAGGCGGACCCATATTTTTTGCGTTTTTCACAATGCACATGTTTTCGCCTGTGGCGGAATTTTAAGGAAATTCAGCCAAAATAAGGAGTTTTCAAATGTTGTAGTTTTACTAATTTTTAACGAATTATTATCAAAAATTAAACACAATTTTTGCTCTGAATTACTTCCCTGAATTTACAAAAAAATTATAAAACTAGTAATTTAAAACAACATTAATGTTATTTGAATTTCTAAAAACTTAGAAATGGCATGCAAATATCAAATTTGTAAAATTTTATAAAATGAATTTTTATAATTTCGCTACAGTACTTCTTACCAAACATTGTGTTAATTTTTAAAATCGGGTTCAAATTCGGAAAGTGACAGCGTTTTAAAAAATCCTGATTTTTTAAATTCCGCCACTGACGAAAACACGCGCATTCTGGAAAACCAAAAATACGTGTCCACTTATTCCTAAGTGAATAATTTAAAATTACTCCAGTCAAAATCGGGGTTAAACACCTAACACCTCTTCATTGTCAGATAGACAACTAATCCCAGTTAGTCTCTCAACGTACATTTCCTCGCAGATTTCGACCAAAGTAGTTTCTATCGATCACAAATTTAATTAGTATGAAATTTGTAACATTTGCATCCGAAGAGGATAAAACGTGGTAAATCGGTGCATTTTATAGGTCATTTTTTCTCAAAACTCTCGCTTCTCGTCACTATTTTTCAAAATAATTATTTCATTTGTATACATATAGCTAATTAACTCGACTTAATTAATGTTAATAAATTTTTTACAAAAGTTTATCCTATTAATTTTAAATAGGTTAGGACGCCGTTGGTACAAATATTTAAACAAGAATCTGCATGATAAGAGTTTTGCAATTTGTCGTTGTTCCTCGCACGAAGCACAATTATGAAAATTCTACTTTGTAAATGTTTCTACCAACGCCTTTCTTTCTTTCTTTTAATTTATCGACACAAAATTAGGATAAACTTATCCAGGGATTTTTTAACGATTTTATAATTAATATTAATTAGCAATTACAAAGATGCGGAAGAAGGGCTGAAATTGTAAAAATTGGTTAGTTAAAAAAATTTCCAAATCGCAGGGATAATTTTGACTTGAAGGATATTTGCGAGAAGTGAGAAAATGTTACTCTGCAAAATGTCTTTGCATTTGACCCTTTTCTGCAAAGTGAAAAGTGCAGAGTTCACGATGCATAAAAAACGCTCTGCCTTGTCACTTTTCACTTTTCCGAAAATGCAGAGTGAAAAGTGCAAAGTGAAAAGCGTGGCCATGAAAAATTGGGCCCTGCTATATCTTTGCGAAAAAAATTAATTTTCAAATTTTGATTTTTATGATATGTTGTATTTTATATTATGCATCTATGATAAGATTGTGGACAAGATATCAAATATGGGTGCGACGACGATCGTGTGGGTTCAGATGGAATGAGCCATCTGTTAATAAATTTAATAAAAGTGGTGCAAGAATGGTTCGCACGTGCGAAAGAGACTGCATGAGATTTCTCTGCATGAGAAATTGCATATCGACACAATGTAAAACGTGAATTTTTTTATTAAAAGATTAGCATGTTTTGCTAAAAACTTAACCTTTTTATGCAATTCTCAAAAAACGTAGGGGCAAATTTTCATGAAACTTTCCTTATAGTTAGAAATGACAGTGATACATTAATTCCTAAAAAAAACTTTATTACACAAAAAAGAAGCTGAATATTCAAAAAATTGCGGAATTCATATTTGTCCATAATTCGAAAAAATAGCGATAATCTTTAAATTCATAATTCAAATTTCTTCAATTACACAGATCCACTTCCATTCTGACGTTGAACACTTGCATGACCACATTCCTTCAAGAATTCTACCCTATTCTCTCAAAGGCGAATTATCCCTCGAGGATGCAATAGATTTAAACACTATTCCCAGAATCAAGAGTAGCGATGAATTTTATGAAAGACTTTCCAGGTGGGTTTTTGAAAGTCTGAAAGTTTAAAAAATTGTTCAAATGCAAAACAAATAAAAACATTTTTGCAAAGTTTTCAGCCAACTCGACAACACAACTCGACACGGGGATAAATCTAGATCTGCTTCGTCTCGTCGACGATCGTAAAATTATTTTACTATGTCAGTGATATTCTAAATATTCATATTTTTAGCGAAATAATCGCAATAGTTTTAAACCCATCGATTTGTGGTTCAAATTAATAATACCAAGCTTGTATAACTTTCTATCCAATTTTACAATACTCATTTTATTTTTAAATCAGTGTTCATAATTCGCACGGTGATGTCTGTAAGTAAACACGAATGTATATTTAACTGCTTTTAACTTTAAGCCCAGTATCTGGACAATATTGTAATAAAATTTATATAATACTCGTATGCAAACATTTCATTCCCACCATGACGAAATATCCATACTTAATTTCTCGTCACGCAAATAACTTATATAAACTGATAATGTGTGTACGTCCAAATAAAGTAAAACATTCGGTTGCAATCGGCCTCATTCATTAACTTTAATCGCAGATAAATAAGTATATACATTTAAAGTGATTTTGCAAATGGGAAGACCACAAGTTGTGGTCCACAACGCAAATACATAAATAAGACTAAAAAAACCCTCAATTTGGAAGCTCATTTCACACGTATACAAAAACTCGTGTATGCTTGACCCTGTCGAAGCCTTTTGTTTATGCATAAATAGTTACTTTTATATATAACATGTGTTGTTAAATATGTAACTTGTTTTGTTGTTATTTATCGAATCATCAGACAAAGCAAAGTTTACCATGTGCGTCACTACAATAGAGGAAACGGTAACAAACAAAGGTGCATTTTGACGTAGATAAAGAAGCAGAATATATGTATGAACGTACAATTATGCAGTTGTTTATGAGTCGACTTCACTTGATCAACACGTACATAATAATTTAGATGATTACGGTTTTTTTGTAATAAAATTGACATTTGACACCTCATTGTAAATAGTATAGCGTTTGTATTTATGAGATACATTATTGACGTAAATATCAGTATATATGTACATACGCCAGTATAATGTAAACTCAAATAGGTGTAATGCTGAATAACGTATGTTCTCATATTTGAATCTTCGGATTTTAGATTTTATGTCAAATCAGGGCTATGCACAAAATATGCACATGCACAACTAAAAACATTTTGGTAAATTTTGCAAATGGGTACACCTAATATTGCAACGAATTAGTACAGACATGATTTGAAATATTCACCCCGATTTAATTATAATATAACACGATCTACGTAGGTACTCAAATTCATGAACTTTGGACACTTTCTGGTGCCAAGTATATATGCAAATTGTTTAATTAAAATACTGACTTTTATGCATAAATGAACAGAAGCAAACTACCTTTTTAGGTAAATACAATTAAATAATTCAGATCTTACTGAATAAATTGCATACATGTTCACACTCCAGTCTTCAAGTGTGCAAATATATGTATCACACATTTCAAACAATGTATAATGTCAATGTCCCATTAACAAGATAGCTGTCCAGTATTCTTGTCATGATTGCTATTTCATGTTTAAAACCTATATACATACATAAATACGTGTATAAATACTATATACATAAGTATGCGTTTGTGTATCAACACTGAAAAAATACAATATGTGTGCACCTATGAATTAAGAATTTGTACACTAAACCAGCTAAAAACGAACTTTTACTCACACGCAAGTTGTGAGTCACAGATCCTAAATCTCAAGAATATGTAAGCAGATTCAACCCAACGTATTCCTCCTCAATAAATATATCCATACATTTTTACAATTCCAGACTCAACTGTAGCGTGAACTTGGTGGTTGTGTAAATGTCGTAATTTTTTGTGTATCTCTCTCAAACTTTAATACATAGTATACAACTCGCTGATCTCTCGCTCCCCTTTTATGCATAGATACATAGATATGTACATAACATATACGTAACCCATTCCTGATTCCTTACCCACATTTTAACCAGTTCTCGTCCACTAGTTCTCCATGCTCCTCCATATGATTGTCATTCTTTATGCTACGTATACTTCGGTTTAACTGGATGCATCATCGGCCAAGAACATCGACAAGTAATTGCAGAGTGAGGTAGTTTTTAGTACCATGGGCAAAAAAGGGTCACGAACATGCTTAATTCTTCAACAACCAAATACGCATATAGCAACCAAACTAGTCATATTTGATCCCCAGCAACGAGATGGACGACGAGATATTACGTGCAGATGACCAATTTGGTCTCGCTCTTATCGAGTTGAAAGGACGGATAAAAGGTTTGCAAAAATATTTTTGCATTTCATCTAATTTGATAATATGTAAATGTGTGCAAATTTTATCTGCAGAACACAACCAGATTGAACCATTCAGTGATATTTTAGATGACGAATTATTGGTTGGATTTCTTCGTGGGAAGAAGGGCGACGTGGCCAAGACGGTGACATGTGTACGTATTTGCATACATATTTAGTTCTTTTGCAAATTGATGAATTTGCTAATTTTTATTTTTTTGCGATACCAGCTGGAACACTATATTAAAATGAGGACGGTAAAATATAAGAATTTTACAAAAATGTATCGTCCCTCCACCGTCAAAATGTTGGACAACGGTGTCGTAAACCTCTTGAAGCATCCTGACCCATTGGGGAGGGTCATTTTAATGTTTCAAATAAGTAAGTCACGTTGTTAGAAATCTGGGATGCTCACGTGGGTATTGATATCTCGGTGTTAAAGTTACTACCACTTGGTATTAAAATTATATCATTGCTGATATGGTAAAACTTTAATACCATATCATATCATAGGGATATTATACCACACGGTATTACCAATACTTATGTATTAATACCACTTAGGTAGAGTCATACATGAATACCGCTTGGTATTATGTTAATACTGGATTTCTAAGAGTGCATGCAAAAACGTGCAGAATTTTGCTTAAAATTTATGTATGAATCCGATTCAATCAAAATATTGCAATTCTCATTATTACTTTTAGATCATTGGTCCCCATCCGAAATTCCTTTTGACGAAGCGATTGCCACTTCCCTTTTCATAATGGATGAAGGGATTCGTTCCTATTTTTCTGCTGGAAACGAGGTTGTCGCGATTTTCGACTGTGCAGGATTCTGTTTCGCTCAGGCGAAAACGATGACGCCGAGAAATATGATCCTCCTTCTGGACATGTTCATGAAAAATATTCCCAGCCGGCCGAAAGGAATTCACCTCATTAATCACGGCCCCCTAATTCATAACCTGTTTCGCATAATAAGCCCTCTGCTAGAGAAGAAGATAAGAGAAAGGGTATGAAATTGTGAATTTTTAAGAAATTTGATCATACAATTATTTAGAAGATAACCACTCTAATTTTCTTCTACACCATTAAAAATCTCACATAGTCAGGCAGGCATTGTTTTCTTGGTGGTAAATTTCTTACCGCTTGGTATTGAAACTAAATATACCGATCCGTAAAAATTTCCTACCGATACGGTATTTTAATTCGTAAATAGAGATTAGGTGTAAGTTATAAATTCGCAAATTTTTCTTTTTAAAACTGCGATGCCAATTTAATGATTTCTGAAACATGATTACCCTGAAAATATTATTTCCGATAAAATAGAAATTTGCTACACTTTAACATTTATATACCATGTTTCCAAAAATTATCCAAAACAGTTTATCCCTAGTTCTTAAAAAAATTGTGAACATGTTTATACACAGATTGCTTTAATTAAACAGGTCCACTTCCATCCCGACACGGATCACTTGCATCGCTACATTCCTCCCCACATTTTGCCCTACTCACTCAACGGCGAATTGTCCTTAGAGGATGCTACCGATTTGAGCAACATTTCTAAGGTCCGGGGTAACGATGCATTTTATGAAAGACTTTCCAGGTAAATACAGATTTTGAAAAAAGTGAAAATATGTAGGCATAAAACAAAAATATGTATGCATAGATAAATTTTTGCTCATTTCCAGCCAACTTGACAATGCAACCCGCCACGGAGAAAAATCTTTGAAATCGTCATCTCGAAGAGGGCTATTCCAATTGTAACTACTCAGTAAATATATTAATTCATATTTTTAAGTAAATATTTAATGTCAATAATTTTATAACCGGTGAAACCACAAACGTCAATCAAATAAAGAATGAATCCAATATAAGTACTTATGTATGTATTTCCAGCATGATTGTAATATCAATCCTGTCAGATTTAATTGTCATAAATTATTCGGGTTTTATTACGCATAAATGTGTATGTAATTACAACGTCTAAAGCTCAAGTGATTATGCAGATAAATGTACAGAAGCAGTGGCTGCGGACGGTAATTTGGACCGTGGGGACATTAGAAGTATATGCATGTATGAGCCGCTAACGTTGCGTCTGCGGCGGTCGAAAAAAATCTTGCTTGTCTATTTTCAAGCTCGATAATTTCTTTCGAAAAAAATGCAGTATTTGAAAAAAATGTTAGGCATAATAATCTGAAAATTAGAAAAATACAAAAGTTTCAGGAAAATTAAAGAAAATTGGAAAGCAAAATTTACCATCTGGTTGTTTCGAAATCAATTATATATTTGAAAACTATTTATAAAAATCAATTACCTTACCTCGATTTGAGTTTGTCGTCGATCTTGAGTCCCACTTGACGGTGGGGACAAATGAATGGCACGTCCCCACGTCAAAATTTCCGTGGGGACCAAATGCTAATGTCCACCTAATGCGGCTAGGCCACTGCACATATATAAGTACTTGATAACACAATTAGTAAGCCATACTCATTCCTAAACATGTCCCGTATTTTCATTATCATTTACACAAATGCGTGCCCACTCCTTAGATAACAGGACATAATATACATACATATTTGCACATTACATACATTCATATACTCACAAATCTCAAATACTACGAAAAATCTCGATTAAAAAAACACATTCATTCATTTCTCAATGACAGAGTCAAGGGTATGTTCTTAAGGTGAAGTTGTTCCCGTGTGGCAGGTTGTGTAAATGTCGCAATTTTTTTATATCTCTCTACCCATCCTGCACATATTTTAACCAGTTCATCAACTCACTATACATACACCTGCCACTTTTGCACACATTTTTATTCTTCGGTTGATGCATCATCAAGCATCAACCACTTCGCTCAATAATTGCAGACTGAGATACATAGTTCTATGCATCACGACTAATCACGAGAAGAAAAAAACTGAGGGCGAATAACAATAATTTTCCAGCCAAACACGCAAATAACAACCCAACTAGTCATATTTCTTGCCCGGTGGAGAGATGGGTGAAATATTACGTGCAGAAGATGACCAATTCGGTCTTGGTCTTATCGAGTTGAAAGGACGGATAAAAGGTTTGCAGATTTTTTGTTTGCAAAATTTTATAGCATCTTAATTTGCGTCCAATTTTGCAGAGCACGATCAGATCGAACCATTCAGTGATATTTTAGATGATAATTTCTTAACTGGGTTTCTCCGTGGGAAGAAAGGCGACGTGGATAAGACGGTGACTTGTGTAAGTATTTAATTTGCAAATGAATGATCTACATAGTTACTCCAATTTTTGCTAATTTTTTCGCAAACTAGCTAGAACATTACATAAAAATGAGGACTGTAAAATACAAGAATTTTACAAAAGCTTACCGTCCATCCTCTGTGAACATGTTGGATAAGGGTGTCTTTCAGATCTTGAAGCATCCCGATCCGTCTGGAAGGGTTATATTATTAGCGCAAATTAGTAAGTTAAATATGCAAAAAAAAAATCGCAAATTTTGTATTGCAAAGTTTTCTTTAGATAATTGGTTCCCGTCCGAAGTTCCTTTCGACGAAGCGATCGCCACCGCCCTTTTCATAATGGACGAAGGGATCCGATCCTATTTCTCGGTGGGAAACGAAGTCGCCGGGATTTTTGACTGTGCCGGATTCTGTTTCGCCCAGATGAGAACGATGACGCCGAGAAATATGATCCTCCTGCTGGACATGTTCATGAAAAATATTCCCAGTCGGCCGAAAGCAATTCATTTTGTTAATCACGGGTTCTTAATTCATAACCTGTACCGTGTGATAAACCCTCTTTTGGAGAAGAAAATTAGAGAACGGGTATGGAATTGTGTAAATTTTTAAGATATTTTGGATTTTGAAATATGTAGTGGAGTAAGATTTGCATGGAATGTTTTGCATGACTTCAATATTTATTGAGGCCATGGAAGAACTCATTGTTACTTTGTTGTTTAATCCCATTTTTTGCATAATTCGAAGGCAAAATTTGCAATATGTAATTTTCCTTACAAGCCGCAATTGCAAATCCTCCCCGAATAGTATCGCTCTGAAATTACGAATCTTCTATAATTCGTCAATACAATAAAAAATAGTGTGTGTTTGAAATTACTTTTTAAAAATGAAAAATTTAGTTTATAATTCTGAAATTATAGGCTAGTTGTTCTCAATTGGACTTAAATAAATTAACAGGCCCGCTTCCATATAAAACCGTATTTTTATATACTTATCTTTGCTCACAAAATTCGCAAAAATAGATGCAAATCTTAATATATGTATATATGTATTTCTATAATTAAACAGGTCCACTTCCATTCCGACGTGGACCATTTACATCATCACATTCCTGCCAAAATTCTACCAAACTCTCTCAACGGCGAATTATCCTTGGAGGACGCAGTCGATTTAAGTGTCGTTCCCGAAATCCGCAGTAACGATGACTTTTATGAAAGACTATCCAGGTACGTATATAGATAGATACTGTATTTAAAATGCATAAGTTTTGCAAATATGTATATGGAAATAATAAAAAACACTAAACACATGCAAACTTTCTAGCCAACTTGACAATGCAACTCGTCACGGGAACAAATCCCTATCCTCATCGTCACCTCGTAGATGACTGCACTCCAATTTTTAGCTAATTAGTGCGTCAGGTCCCATCTTGCAGTAAATTATCCTACTAATCTATATTATAAGCTGGAAATGTTTGTCGGCAACGAAAGTGAAAGTTATTTTCCGTGACGGAAGTGAAAGCAGGGAAAGTTAAATTTCGAACAGCGCGAAAATTCAAAAATTTTAATTTTAAACCTAAATATGAGAAGATGTGGTTATGGGGTCGTTGATGCCTTATGGTGGTTATACATGGCAGCCTAATAGTGGTTATCGTGTTGTGGGGGCCTGGTGATGGTTATGTTAGGAGTGGATATCTTGAGGGCTTTCTGATGGTGGTTGTCTTGCAAGTAGTTATCTAGTGGTTGTTATCGGGGTGTGGCGGCCTGGTGGCGGTCATGTTGGCAGTGGTTATCTGATTTTGGTTATCTTGGGGGCTTTCTGATGATGGTTATCTGGTGGTGGTTATCAGGGTGTGGCTGTCTCACGGTGGTCATCTGGGAGTAGTTATTTGATGGATTGTCGTTTGGGTGTGGTTGCCAATGCAGATCATTGCCAATGGCGGACTACGCTGGTAAAGCTGGCAGAGCCAAGTGGGTGCCAAACAAACTGCCAGTGGCACTGCCATTGCCAATGGCAGACTAGGCTGGTAAAGATGGCAGAGCCAAGTGGGTGTCAGACAAACTGCCAGTGGCACTGTCATTGGCTCTGGCAGAGATGACTGAGCCAAATGGGTGACATTTAATTTCCCACTTTAACTTTCGTTGCAAATTACTTTCACTTCCGTGGGCGTCAAATTGTTTTTTAAACAAATATCTACAACAAATTTAAATCGTGAAATTTTGATAATCTAATCATCTCTCGCCCGGCGGGAGACGGGCTTATACGCTAGTTATGTATATGTGTAAATAAATACTATGTAACCGGTGAACAATTCACCAATAAATTTATTAGCGACAACGCAATTCCTCTCTTTGTGAAATTTCTTGTCCAATTTTGCAAAGTCTGTATTTCATGAGTCAATGTCGATGATTAAATTTATAAGAGGGTAAGCGTGCATGTCACCACTTGAACCATTGTGGATTCCATAACTGGACCATACATATTTTGATAAAAAAAGTTATATAACACACGTGTGCAAATATTACATTCTCATCATGGTAATCATACCTGATTTCTCGTATCACGCGCAAATCAATTGATTTGTAAATTTACAACATAGGTATGTATACATATATAACTCGATAAATTGCGTGGGTTCAAATAAAGTCAAGCGACGTTGGGTTAATGATGATCTCATTTACTAACCTTAATGACAGATAAATAAATGCATACGTATTAAATGTGATGCAGTAAATGGGAATATTTATTTGTACTACTGATATAAACACCTTTGGACCTTCGGTTCGTTTCAAATAATAAAATTCCCGTATGTGTTTGACCCTGTAAAAGTCTCGTTGGTTATAAATACGCAAATATGTATTTGCATAATCAGGTGAAATTTGAGTGGAGTGCAACAAAGTCATTTATTCATATTATTTATTTGCATATATGTATTTTGTATAAGTTCAAAACCAGTTTTTTTTCTTGGTGTAACGAGTCATCAGACAATGCAAAGCTTCCCACGTGCGTCACTACAATGAAGGAAGTTGTCGATTGTTAATCATAACAAAGGGACACTTTGGCGTAAATAAGACATAAAGAAACAAACATGATTTGCATTGCGCAGTTAGTTGAGTATTTATTATTCCATTGGTCTAACTCATCAACACTCATTAATTTAATATCGTTCGTGCTTTTTAGGATTGAACTTGAGATTTCTGCAGGTTTAGTATGTGTGGGGACCCTTTTCGGCCCAAATTTTCCCCCTTTTCCGGGACAAAGGCAGAAACCGAACCCCCGTTGAAGTCACAAAAAAAATTGTTCCACAGTTTTCACTAAATTCCCAATCGTACCTCTACACTCTGCCAAAATACTGATCCACGATACCATTAAAACCCCCGCACACAAAATAAACACAGATTTCACAGATTCGAATGAAACTGGATCCGATTCATGAAAAATGGTGTCTTCCTTCCGATCAGCCATCGCCCTGGCAAAATTTCTTTTATAATTCGCATCCTTATTTTTAAACTGGAGCGTTAAAGGATGGTACAGTTCTGCCTTCTTCCCCCATCTATCATCCAACCCAGAACTGTAAAGGTATCCAACCTGTCTATGGAAAACCGTAGTGTTTCTCACGGGTCGGGTTCTTGCAAATCCGAAACCCGAACCCGAACCCGGTACCACTGATCCGAAACCCGAGGCCAACCCGAACCCGAAGAACCCGTACCCGTTTGCAGGGACCCGAACCCGAACCCGAACTGGCGGTTCAAATCCGAAACCCGAACCCGAAATCCCGAAAATATTTTTAATTTTAAGGCATGGGCTGAATTTGTACTTAAAAATTATTTAAAAGCTTAAAAATCAACAATATTTATAATATTTCAAAAACTGCCCCAGAATGGCTTTCCGAGACCTTTAGAAATTTGAAAATCAGTCCAAAATTGGATAATTGTTTCCAGTTTGACGTTTCCAATATTATTACTTATATCATTAGGTATGATTCAGGTAATTGCATAGCAAAATTAGGATAAAAATTCGATTTCTTTTATAGTTCGCACCGTAACACTAATTGAATCAGGCTCTTGTAAATCGTTTACCTTTTTGGAAACCATTGAAATTAAACGAATTTAAGACAACTAGAAATTGGAATTACTTACTTCAGTATTGCAACCGCTGAAGAACATGTAGTTCAACAATTTTTCTAATATCGTTTTGTGATATCGATCCAAAAAAGTTTGATTCGGGTTTCGGGTTCTTAATCCGTACCCGAACCCGACCCGAACCCGAAATTTTGACATGACATTTTTCGGACCCGAACCCGAACCCGAAAGTTTCGGGTTCTTAAATTTCGTATCCGAAGCAGAACCCGAACCCGAACCCGAACCCGAAACCCGAAGTAAGGACCCGAACCCGTGAGAAACACTAGAAAACCGGAAGTAGATAGTTTTTCGTCCACAAGGCCAGCGTAATGGTTCGAAGCGGTGTCTCCTCACGCCCATCGATGATTAGTCTCTGTCCGCTATTTTTTATGCGACTAGTTACCACGTTAACAAAATCCTTGGTATCCATGACTACGAAGGTGCGTTCCGTAGAGGGAACTGTTCATAATACTCTCAGATTTTTCAATGGACTTTACCAACTTGCTAAGTTCGGGGTAAGTTATGCAAGAATTAATAAACATAACCCTCTTAACCAAATTATCCAAAAGTTTCATGAATTCAGACTCCTTTCCGATTGAATTTTGGTATGTTGGAATTATGACATTTTTCAGAATAGAGTCTTCCGGTATGCCATCCTTCTTGTAAAAAGAGCACGTCACGATTGGAATGTCAGATTCCAGTAATTCTTTTAAATTTGATGGTAATATGGGAGGCTTGATGGCACTTAGGTAAGAGAAAATTGATCCCATGTACAGATTGTCCATTATTATGTAGCCTCCACATAAAAACCAGGCAGTTAAGAGGGGAACCGAAGCCACGTTTTTGTAATAGGTTTTCACACTTTCCGCATTAACTTGTCCGAAAAGAATGGTTGCAATATTTAAAAAGTCCTCAATTATATTAAGGGTCGACTGTATGACAGTATAATTTCCTAGACGGCGGGAAAACGTTACAATTAAGGACACCATTACACACAATACGAGTAAAACTGACCACATCAGTTCATCAAATGGCGATAAAAATGCGTCCAATCCATTCAATGCTGTCGGAAATGGTGTTACAAATCCAAACTTAACGATGTTATATTCAATTAGATTAGCCTCCAAGACGCCTCGATTGACGACATAATCCACAGTAAGAGGGTTTAGGATAATATAGATGTAAAAGTTGTAAACGGAATCCCTTGTGTAAGTCAGGCTTGGGGTGAAATTGAATGTTTCCGATAAGGATAAGATTCTACATAAGCGTAAACTGTATAGCTTGTTAACATCGAATATACTATTTTCGCATTGATAATCACTTAACTGAGAATCAGCTGGAATAAAAACAGGGTTTCTGTTCAAATTCCTATTTAAGGAAAACCACAAAGTTCGTATCATTGAAAGAGAAAAGTTTTTTTTCACTGCGAATTTTTGTGGTAAGGAGTTGCAGATTATGCAGGGAATGCAGATTTGATATGGCAATTTGGAACTGAATAAAATAAAGGTGGCTATTGTAACACGATTATGAAACTCGGCATAATTTCCAACATTCCATGGGTGTCGTCGCTATGTTGGAAAATAAATTCCATCTGGAAGTTTGTTACTATGGTGTCATGCAACTTTACCTGGGCCAGTTTGTCATACACAGATTCTTTAAATGTTAGGTAAGTTGGGTGGAGAACGGTAATCGGCTTTCTTCGAGAAATTGGAGGTGAACAATTTTTACAGAGAAGTTCAAAGTGAGAATTATTACTTTGGAATTGATAAAGTATCAAAGGAGATTGGTTTGAGTGAGCGAGACAGTAAAAATAGGAGGGATAACTTGTGGAGTAATTTGGTCGAGTGGGTTTTCTTGTGACAAAAATTAGGTGATGTCCATCAAATAGGTGAGTCATTGTGCAGAGGCAGTTTGATGGAAGGGTTGCATGAAGAAGCGGAAGGAGTAGGATCCACGGTATTATTATTCCTATGGACATTATGACATGCTGTGGAAGGAATATGTAAGTACCTTCGCGTCCACAATTTTTAACTATTAAGTAATCAGAAACTTTCAAATATTTCAACAAATTATTGCAAATATTTCAAATTATTTTTTATTCTATAACTTTCTTAATGCAAAAAAGGATAATTCAAATTGTAAATTACTGGCCAAAAGTATTTTGGGAATTATTTTTGCAACTTCTCCTTACCTAATCTATCCTTTCATCAAACTCAGAACTGAAGCATAACAATAGTTTCCCCAAAGCGCCCTGTAACTATGCAACCTTCACAATGAATTTACATTAATAAGTATTTACAATTTCGTCTATTTGCTGATGGCAAGCGGAAGTGCATGGAAAGAAATTGGCATGTATGTAGCAAACACACTTATTATGTTTAGAACCTAATTAAAATGTTTATTATCTTTGTATAAGTGGACAACGGAAATAATTAACTTGGTATGTAAGCCGAGCTCTGGGCATAAGACAAAAGTACATATATAAGTTTATGGAATAGTAGTTCTTATGATTAGCCATGAACCTGTAAAAAGCAGAGTTCATATGAGACGTTTTGTCCACCCACTGTATGTCCATTTCTAAGCCGGAAATCTCCAGAACGGCTCACCATATTCAATCGCTGTTTTCATTGTGGTTTTAACTTTTGACCCAGTTATTTTCGAAAATGAGGTCAGTCCCTGGTGTGCGACGAGATGGCAAATTGGACCTTAATTTTCATAAACTAGGGTGTAATCTCAAGGGAAATTTATATATGAATTCAATACAGTCAATTCTTTGGACCTCTGACTAACCCATCACTGTGAGGATGAGGTCGAACACAAAAAATACACGATTGTCATGTATAATTTTACAAGAAATTTCTATCGCTTTGACGCTACTTCTTTACATTTTATTTATTTAAGAGAAAATGCATGCAATTTTCGTTACCTATTTAAATAATTAAATATATTTAACTGCTCCCTTCAGAACGTCATTAGCAAGTTGCACGTATTCTCTATCAAAACGTTCATCACAATTGTCAATAAATTATTTCTAACTAATCCAAACGGTCCAATCTGAATAGCCAATGGTCTCAAGGACTTGACGACTTTCTTTTCCCACGTCCCTCTTCGCAAGTCCTTTCCCACCTTACATAAATACACGTTTGACCTTTCGTACACTTTGGCTGCCTCAGGGATCAAAAATACAACAAACAAGAAAGCAGTTAAACTTGCCATGGGCA